ACCAGCCTTTGCAGATGGGTTAAATGTGAACCTCCGAAGTGCAACAAAGGTTTTCTGAGAAGTACCAAATAATGTCATCTGATGACGCGACCCAAATAGACAGAGTCGACTGTGTCTGCAAAGACAAAATAGGGACATCCTTTAGTATATAAATGGACATATCCCTAAGACGTGGTCTAAAGTGCAAGATGTCATTCCCTAAACTCTGTATAAAAATTGCTTCACTAAATAATTAGGGAAGTGTTGGGGATGGGGAGAGCAGCTGTAAGTGCTATAAGCAGAGATCTCAGTTGTATTGGGCCCTATGCCTTCTTCCAAACGTAAAGCTGAACTGGGTATTTTTCCCTCACCCTCTCTCGACTCCTGCGGGTTTTCTTCATCGCTCCCCTTGAGTGGAGTCAAGTCAATTTAAATATATTGATCTTCTCAGCACTGGGGATATAAATAAGACTCAAGCACTACCTCTAAGAAGTGGGGACCAGGTGTAGACATAGCAAGAGGAAGGTATGAGTAACAAGGAGAGGCGGGGATGGGCAAGAATGACCGCACACAAAGGGGCAGTTGAGCGGGTTTTGAAGGGTGAGCTACAGTTCCCCGGGGAAAGAGGTATGGATGGGTAGGACCGGGACTTTTGGGCAGAGAAAACATGAATGCAAAGACACACTCACATGAAATCACATAGTATTTTCAGTGAGCCGTAAACAGACACTATGTGTGCACAGTCATTGTATTTTTCTTTAACCATGTTCTTAGTGCCCCTGCTGTAAGTGCTTTTTCATTGTGGGGTTCAGGGATTTAACCAAAAAGCTTTGTGGTAAACTCCTTTCCACAACAAGCTTCTATAACATAGTATTTCAAGACTGTTGCCGTTCTGTGTGACCATTTGTGCCAAAACATCATTTTAAAAAATGTATATATGTTTAGCAAACAAATGATCTTGAGCTCATGAGGAAAAGAGACCTGGTATCTAGTTTGAGGGTCAAGGTACGCTTCCTTGAGGAAGAGGCATTTGTGCTGAGCTTGGCAAGGTGAATGGGAATTATCCGGGGGAAGAGTTCATCAGGAAGTAAGAACGGCAGGCGTATGGGAATACCCAGAGGTAAGCCAGAGCCTGGCCTGTTGCAGGTCGCAGAGAGGCCCAGAGCATAAAGCCACAGGGAGAGGTGAGGGGGCGTGGGCCGGTGGGGGGCAGGTGGGGTCATGCAGGGCCTTGGAGGCCATGTGGGAAATTTAGGGCTTCGTCCTGAGCAACGGGAAACCAGAAACATGTTAAGGAGGGGAGAAATCTGATGATGTGTATGATGTATATAATTATAATAATCTGATTATTATTTTAAAAGATCACTTTAGCTAAAAGTTGGAGAAAGAATCAGAGGGGTGGAGGAGAGACCTGTTAGAAGAGCACATCAGTTCACAAGGGATTGATGAACTGGATTAGATCGGAGAGATGGAGCTGGAGACAAGAGAGAGATTGGAGAAATAGGGAAGCCGAAAAGAGTTAGGACTTGGTAATAAATTGGACACACATGACTTGCCCAACTTCACTTCTGTTTACATATATCAAATGATATAAACAGATGTTTTTATACTTTCCCATATTTGGGTTTTTGTTAGTTTTTTGAACTCTTACTTGATTAAACTCCAACTGATGGAGGTTCACGATAGTAAGAATCAAAATATTTTTGGATTATCGTGATGACATATGGCCCTATAATTCTGGATTTTGTAACAAAGCAGTTTGACTTCTGTCCCATTCATTTGGATAATGCCATACTATCTAGGAAACGGAAATGTGTTTTTAAAATATGACAGGCTCCAGCCTGTGTACATATCAGACACAGGGAAAAATAAAACAGAATGTCTTGGGTTTGAAACACAAAATTAATGCAGTTCTTTTTTTTAAAAAAAAGTAAGTTCTGTGCTCTATTTCTAGAATGGAATTAGGTTTTCTTGGGTAAGAATAATAGCTTGATTTTTTTCCACCATAATAACTTAATCTTGGTTATGCTTTTCACACCTAACCAGACTGCACATAGCACATTATGGGCAGGTATGTACACACAATGCAAATCATTCTCCCAGCTGCATATGTACGATTTGTCTTTTGGTGCTGGCCGTTATGTTCAATTTAGTAAAAGCTATATTCCACGGTGTACTAGAATCTTCGGTTCCTTAACCAGCTAGGATTTTACGTACTTCTCTCTACTGGTTCATAAAGAGCACAGAAAAGAGCAGAAGGCAGAGATAGAAATGAACCAAGGCAAAATATGCCTTTGTCCAGGAGAGAGGAGGAAGCAAACCCAAGCACAAAGGCTGTGAGCAGAGGCACATCTGATGAAAATTCGGTATCTCGCAGCCCATTTTTTTTTTTAATAAATAAGATAAACTGAAATGACAAAGTGGGATCCTATGTATTCACTTAAATTTTCCAGAAAACCCCTGAAACATACAAAAGACACAGACCTGGAGAATGTACTGAGATGCACTTACCTATAATACTTGTAGTTTCTGTCACGGTTACAATGAAACACCTCCACTGTGTTCTCCTCCCTGATTATCCAGGATGTTTCAAAAGGTGAACCTTGTCGAAGGAAAAATCACTAAGTGACAAAGGCATCTTGCCTTCTAACTGAGGAATGTTTGCAATAATTACAAACTACAAAGTATTTTGGTTGAAGGGACTGATTGCGTTCAGTGCCTGAAAAATAAGTCAAAGAAATAAAATTATTTTTGAGCAGGTTTACGTCTCATATTAATTAGAAAATATGCATAATTTAAAATTCTTGCTGGCAGTTTTAAAAAATTGAATATTTCCACTCTAAGTAAAAATATGAGTAGTTTCTGAGAAATTAATATACTAGAGCCTCCAAATTTTTCCTTATTCATACGATCAAATGACCACCGTTTGATTAATGGTAGGAGAGAGAATTAAAAGTAAAAGTAAAATTATCTTAAGAGTGTTTATTTTGTCCTCTAGGAAAGGAGAGCAAGTTCTGGCCCTCCAGCTATCATAGTGAGATGCAGGCCCTTCCTACCAATATTTTTATAGAAACAAATTTTGGTTATGTGTCATCTAACCAAATTTTAAAGGGATGCCTTCCCAGGAAAAGAATGGGAGACACCACAAGAAGGATTAAATATATACCAAGGACTAGGGTATGGGAAGATATGGAACCAAACTCTGATTTTGCCTTCATATCAATACAGTGTGTTTTCTGGATGGATTTATTCAAACCAGGGTGGGAGGTGCCTTCAGGGTTAACACCAACGGAGTCCAGCGTTCCCCAGAGTGGCCGCCTTCATCATTTCATTCCGGCCCAGTTGCTGTTGTTCGGTCCACTTCAGAGCTACTCTGAGTGACAATCACAGCTTCCTTTCTCCTCCGGGACACTTCATTTACATTGTGCCCTCTCTCGGACAGTTGTGATAACCTGTGTTTTTGAGATTGTCACTTCTCCTTCACAATCAGCAAATTTAAGTGACTACCAAATTAAATTTAATTATCAGAATATTCATCAGAATACAGGGTGATGGGCTGAATCATATAGCCTCACTTGCTGTTTTCAGTTTTGGTTCTTAATATGATCTTAAGTGGAAAAAAATGTGTCAGATATAAACCTTAAAGGGATGTTCATATTATTGGAGTCTCAGGTATTTTTTTTTATTGTCTTGACTACCTCTATTCCCATGAAGATATAAATGGGTTTTTAACACAAAATTTGGGGTCTTCCTTTGAAACTAGGATGCTCTGTATAATCTTATGGCTTGGAACATCTCATATTTGAAAGAATTCCAAATATTAAAAAACATAATTGAATCATCTTCCTCTTATTAAAATGATCCCCTTTTTTATTTTCACTACTTTATGAGCTTTTTAAGTGATTAGAAAGCAAGTACTATAGAAAGTATGGCATTCTTTTTTTTTAAGATTTTATTTATTTATTTGACAGAGACAGATACAGCGAGAGAGGGAACACAAGCAGGGGGAGTGGGAGAGGGAGAAGCAGGCTTCCCACAGAGCAGGGAGCCCAATGTGGGGCCCGTTTCCAGGACCCCAGGATCATGACCTGAGCTGAAGGCAGATGCTTAATGACTGAGCCACCCAGGCACCCCAGTATGGTGTTCTTAAAAAGATGTGTAGGCTTATTACTTGTGAGACTATTAATATGTTTTATGGATAATCATGGTCTTTTTATAGCAGAAATAGGAAATTTAACACCTGAATATGCCTACATTACTAAAACTAGTTATTATGTCAACGTTAGGACTTTGATCTTTGATATTTAATTTGTAAAAGCAGCATTTATCTCCAAAATGTTTTGCTGGCTTCAAATCTGTTAACCTCTGCCTACAATTAACAACCTCATTTAAAGATGGGGAGGATGAGCTAAAGAGTTTTAACTTAAACCAGGAGCATCTCCCACTCACTCATTTCCCCTATTAAAAGTCTTGTTTTCCTAGGGCCACTTGGGTGGCTCAGTTGGGTTAAGCATCTGACTTTTGATTTTGGCTCAGGGCCTGAGCTCAGGGTTGTAAGATCAAGCCCCATGTCAGGCTCCATGCCCAGATTAAGATTAAGGTTCTCTCTCTCTCCCTCTCTTAAAAAATAAATAAGATAAAATAAAATAAAAATAAAGTTTTGTTTTCCTACTGGTTGAGAATATCTTAATCCGCTATCTTTGAATAGAATTCCTGTCTTTTAAGTATCACTGAGTTAAAAAAATGAACAGCTGTAGGAGAGTTTCTAAGAAGTAGCCATGCATTTTTCTATAACTACAAGCTGTAGAGGTAAGAAAAGGGTTATTTAAATTCATTCTTAACTGACATTTTCCCAGACTCCGCTTAAATCACTAGCACGACAAGTCTGGGTTCATTGCATTGTAAATTTCTTTCTAAAACCGTATTTATGTACTCATTTGTTTAATAAGCTCCGTTGTATACTCCAAAGACAATTTCTTGAACTCGGATGAATGACATTCATTTCTCCTCCATTTACCCAGTGCTGCTGCTGAAGCTGATGGTATTGATCCATTAATAAACATCCTGTCCAGTAAACGAGATGGAGCCATTTCCAACGCTGCTACAGTATTAGCAAACATGGCAATGCAGGAGCCCCTTCGTGTGAGCATACAGAACCACAATGTCATGCACGCCCTCATCAGCCCACTCCATTCTGCAAACACGATCGTGCAGAGCAAAGCGGCTCTCATGGTGGCTGCAACCGCATGCGATGTTGAGGCCCGGACAGAGGTGAGAGCTTTAATAACATCTGTTCTCTCATTTTTCTGGTCTCTACCTCTGGGTGGATTAATTTGAAACATTTTCAAGTGTTTGAACCTACCCATCATTTAGATCCTTTGAAATTGGTGCAACACTTCAACCATGGACTCTGGGTGATAATAATGTGTCAGTGTATGTTCATCAGTTGTAACAAATGTACCAGTCCGGCAGGGGATGTTGATAATGGGAAAGCTGCTCGTGTGTGGGGGCAGGGAGTATGGGAAATCTATGTACCTGCTGCTCAGTTTTGCTGTGAACCTAAAACTACTCTAAAAATTTAAATTATTAAATTGGTGCAACATTTGGAAAAGAAATTGGCATTACCTAGCAAAGAAGAGCATGTCCTATAATCCGGTATAATCCAGCCGTTCTGTTTCTAAGTTCTACAACTAAAATGGCCTCTTGCCTCTGTGCACCAGATGCATTGTTTATAATATCTAAACAACTGGAAACACACCAATTGTCTAGTTTTTTAAGAGAATGGGTAAATAAATTTGTGGTATATTCATAAAATGGAATTTCACATCAGTGAAAATGAAGGAACTATAGCTACAGACATCAATAGAGATGAATCTCAAGCCATGCTGAGCAAAATCAAATTGCAGAAGACTACAACCTATGATTCTGTTTATGTAGCACTCGTAAATACACAAATCTAAGCAATATATTGTTTAGATAAACATACGTGTACATTGCAACTCTAAAGGCAAAGGTAGAGAATGATTAACCCCAAATTCAAGAAATCCTCTTGGGGAATCAAGGGAGTGGATGTAACTGAGAGGAAAAAACAGGGGCTCAAGGTCATTTAAATTTGTCATTTCTTAAGCTGAGCGGTAGACAAACAGGCGTGCCTTTACTATAGTGTGTTACATTATACACATGGGTTCCACATACTCCTGTGTTCCTTGTATATTTCAAAGTTTTAAAACATAGAATTGCATTTTTTTTTACAAGTGTATCATATAAAAGTGTCTTTGGTTCTATTCAAAAAGGTAATGTAAACCTACAAACATCCTTTTTTCTCCTGCTTTTGTCATATTTACTTGTCACGGAGCACTCATCAAACAGCCTAGGGCTTTGTTCCTCTCCTGCCAATATAAATAACAACAGCTAATGCTTACTGAGCACTTACTAGGCAGTGGGCACTGTGCTAAGCACTCCATAAGCTTTTAAGCCTCGGGCTCGATCCCACCACCCAAGACATCCCGACCTGAGCTGAAACCAAGAACTGGACGCCCAACTGGCTGAGCCGCCCAGGCACCCCAAGACTACCAGATGTTTATTTACCATCTACTTTGTGTCAGACACTATGCTAGGCTTCGGCAACACAGCGATCAAAGCGTTTTGGTCCTACCTTGATGCAGTCTGCAGAATAGTCCGTCTCTTTCCAGGAATATTGCAGCTCAGTCTCCTGCTCTCCCTACGCCTGCCACCCCTGCTTCCCACACTGCCTCCAGACTGATCTTTCAAATATACGACCCTCATCACGTCATTGCAAGTCCCCAGTGGCACGCCATTGCCCCAGAGGAAAAGTTGAGCTGCTTAGCGTGATCTGCATGGGCTCCCAATGACCCACACCTACCCACCTGTGCCTGAAGCCTCTTCCCAGGCCTAACTCCATACTCCAGAAATACCATACCATTTGTAATTCTGTCCGTAATGCTCTGTTCTCTTATTTATATGTCTTTGATTTCTCCGCTTGGAAAACTATTCTCACTTTTGTCCAGCTGAGCTTTGCGCAGTGGCAGTATCGTAGCCAGTGAGGTTTATCCGAGGCGCGATTATTGCTAATTGAAAACTTTTGTCCAGCTGATAAAATCGCACTTCTTCAAAACCCATGTCAGCCATTCTGTCTTCCATGAGGCCTTTCTTCAGCCCTCAAGCTGGGGAGCGTCCTCCTCTATGCTTCCCTTACACCCTATGTATGCTTCCTTGTCTTCTGCTTTGCATATATGGTTGAGGCCTTAGGGAAAGGACCTGAGAGGTTTTTTTCCCTGTGTCCATGCCATTAATAGATATCTGGCACAGAGTGCATACTTACTAAACAGTCATTAAATGAATGGGTAAATGAATGAAGGAATTAATAAATGAATTAGATCTTTTCCAAAAGAACACATGGAGTTAGACTATCTTGTATTATACTCAGAAATAAAGATGTTCAGAAATTTGACTTGCTAAAGCCTAAGATGCTTCAAGTAAACTTTTTAAAGCTGTAATGTTACAAGTACTAAAGTGTGATCCCTGAGAAGAAAATGTCACTGGACATTGACGGAAAATGACTGAATCTGAATCAAGTGGATCATACCCCATAAGGGCTTTTGTCTTCAGATACTACACATAGAAACCGGTAGAATATTCTTTTTTTGTCCTCTAGGTTCAGATGATAGAGTATTGCATTTCAGGCAATATGACAAGAGCTCTGTCAAATCTTTTTTTTTTTTTTTTTCGGATTGGAATGATTTTATCCATGAATAATTACTTTATTACTTGAATTTCCTTTAACGATGTAATTTATGTGGTTCTGTCCAATTCTCTTCTTATTCTTTTTTATCTCTTCCTCACTCCTTGGAGAATTGAAGAGAAGACACTGTGCAGCAATAACAAAAATTGGTCTTTTTCTAGGGCATTGCTATGGTACTGCTTTGTCCACCCTGATGATTTGGTGGTGGTGTCCAGTGACATGGGTAGCATGTCACTGTATCAATTCCTCCTGCCCAGCCTTGGGGACCGGATTCATTCCCTATTACTGTTGTAACAAATGACCACAACACTGTGGCTTAAAGTAATAGAAATCCGTTATTGTATAGTATAGGAGGTCAGAAGTCTGAAAACAGGTCTTACGGGTTAAAATCAAGGTGTTGGCAGAGCTATGTTCCTTTGGGAGACTTTGAGGGAAAATTTGCCCTTTCTAGCTTTTACCATCCACCTCCATCCCTTCTGTGGCCCCTTCCTCCATCTTCAAAGGGTATTACTCCAATCTCTGCTTCTACACGGCTCCTTTCTTGGCTCCAGGCACCCATATCTCTGTCTTATAAGGACCCTGGTAATTAAATTGGGCCCACCTGATTATCTGGGACAATCTCCCCATCTCAAACTTATTAACATGTCACATCTGCAAAATCCCTTCCAGGGAAAAGGACACCTTTGGGGGACCATCATTCTGTCTACCATAGGGCCAAATGAACAGTCAGTGTTGAGGAGCAGAATGAATGAGCACAGGGAGCAAGAAGACAGGCTCTCAGTCCCCCTCCCATGCAAGGTCACAGTGACCTCCATGCAAAGTCACAGTGGCCTCCCTCGGTTATTTGCCTGTGGCCTCCTCTTGACCTTGAACAGAAATCTGGGCTCCTGTCTTTAAGGTTTTGTAATAGACTGCTTTCCCCTGGATGTAATAAATCTAAATATCCTAAAATGTTCTTACATAGTTAAAATCGTTTAACAATCAAATGAGATTTAAAAAAAAAAATCAGCATTTATATTCTGTACTCCCAACGTGTAAACTTTTGGTTTCCATGTTCAGTTAAGAAATTCAGGCGGCCTGGAGCCGCTGGTGGAGCTCCTGCGCTCTAAGAATGCAGAAGTGAGAAGGCACGCCAGCTGGGCCGTGATGGTCTGCGCCAACGATGAGCTGATGGCTGTTGAATTATGCAGGCTTGGGTGAGTGGAGCTGCCTCGAGTCTCTGGCTCAGATGAAGAGCAGAAGTTGAAGGAGCACACTCTTTGGGCTCAAGCAAGGAAGGTCAGGCAGAGTCCACACTCCCGCTCACAGGAGTTAATCTCACAGGCTGCCGAGCCCTCGGGAGCTGTGACTGGCTCAGCGGACCTTCCCTAAGAAGGGACAGCCTGGCGGGGCGTGGGGGGGGTCCCCTCCCATTCCCCCCACCTGGAGATCTCCCCAGCACCCTTACAAAACCATCTTTACTGTCTCCTATCCACCTTTTCAACCTGATCAATGCCTCTCTTTCCCTCCCCTCTGCTACTGCTAAACAGCAACTCTGTCTTTCCACTTTTGAAGCGAAAATGAAATGGGTGAGCCATGACTGCATCTACTTTTTCCCCCACCTCCACCCAAACTTCTCCGTCAGAATTAGGCATTTAACCCACCCCACTAAAGCAGGTCCTCCAGCTGTGGCAGATGAGCGAGTTGCCTTAGCGTACTGGCAAATAGGGTTTTACGGGTCCACTGATGGGCTCACCCTATTTCTAACCATCTCTGTGTTTGTGCATATTGCCTGGTTAGCTGAAAGAGTTGGAGCCCAATACTAATTTTGCTTTAAATGAAGAATTTTTTCCACCCTCAAAGTGTCCTTTTCAGCTGTTTGAATATGAGTCACTACATGTGAATCAGTCACAAGGACTGATTCATCTTCACAATTCTGTCAGTATTACTTTATCTAAAAGGGTGAGATGTCTTTAACCTTTCCATCTCAATTCTTCATTCAGGGTCTTGGCTTGGTATATAAATGAGAACTTAATATTGGATTGCTTGTTTAAAGCAAATAATGCTTTTTTTCTTGTATTGACAGGGCTTTAGATATCCTTGAAGAAGTTAATCTATCAGTAAGTCGAAAAAATAAATTCAGTGAGGCAGCTTATAACAAATTGCTCAACAACTACCTGTCCCTGAAATACAGCCTGACTGGCTATTTGTCATCAAGTAACATAATTAGTGACGGATTCTATGATTATGGTCAGGTAAGTGACAGCATTAATTTGTATTTTAGTATGTACGATCATTTCTTCTTTAGTCACAGTGCCATTACATTGCAATTTTTTAACCACCTCACAGAATGTATATTTTTATAGGCAGAAACTTGGGAATCAGAGCTTTATTCTTAACTTTGGCTGTCAGATCTTGCATTTGTGTACAGTTTTAACTAGAATCTGATTATTTGTAGTAGAATCAGCTTGCTGAGGCTACTCTCAAGTTTCAGGGAAGATATAAAAGAAGGAGCATTTTCTGTTCTATTAATTCCAGGGTTCAGTGTTAGTGATAAGGATAGAAGTATGAGTGTTTCATTTTATTATAATCTAATTGAAATGAGCCAAATTGTAATACCAAATTTTAAAATATAATATAGAAGACCGTCATTTAAGCTGCATTTCTGACTATGATTTTAAAAACAGTATACAGTGTGATTCAGGGTTAATGTCAAGAGAAAGGGGAAGCTAAAAATTAGAATCTTAAGGGCTTTTTGGCACTGCTGCTTAAGCCAGCATTTTCCTTTCTTCTGGAAACCAAGAGCAATAAGGAGAACAGGAAAACAATTTTTAAATCTACAAATGCCACTTTAGGCAAATCTAGGAAACAGATATGATCCACAGACTTCATTAAGAAAAATGTAGGAGTTACCGAAAATCCCTGAGATCAGGCAGAAGGGGTGCAGGAGGAAGAAAGAAAAGGGGGAAGAAAATAAGCCCAGAGAGGGACAAGCAGCTAGTGGTGCCGGTCTCAGAAAGTGCCATCCCTGCCTCAGGTGAAGGGAGAGCTCAGAAGTGCAAAAGCCAAATGCTCTGTTTGCCGGGCAGGTGCAGGACCCGAGGCCCTGGGTCAGGCAAGGCTAGGAGCAAAAGCCAGTTTGGACCAGTTTGACTCAAAAAAGCAGAGGAGATAGGGCCATGAAAGAATCACATAGCTGAACCGTATTTGCAGGAAACACTCTATCATGGTAACCGAATCGGAGACATTTTTAAATTTTTTTATTCTTTTAAAGTAATCTCTACCACATGGGGCTCGAACTCACCACTCTGAGATCAAGAGTCACATGCTCTACCGGCAGAGCCAGGGAGGTGCCCCTAGAGACATTTTTTTTTTAAAAGATTTTATTTATTTATTTGTCAGAGGGAAAGAGAGAGCACAAGCAGGGGGAGCGGCAGGGAGAGGGAGAAGCAGGCTTCCCGCTGAGCAGGGAGTCCGACACAGGACTCAATCCCAGGTCCCTGGGATCATGACCTGAGCCAAAGGCAGACGCTTAACTGACTGAGCTACCCAGGCGTCCCCAGACATTTTGAATAATGAAAAATGACTAGCCTAAAACCTGACTCCTGCTCTTCTTTCTGCTTTCCCCGGCTGCCACTGCCCCCATACCTATCATAAGACACACACACACACACACACACACACACACACACCACTGAGAAATCACCGCTCCAAGAAAGCCCATCTCATTCAGTGAATTCAGAGAATTCTCTGATTCCTTCATTCAGTAAATATTAAGTTTCAAATATTGTAGGTTTGACGATCTCAATAAATAAAAGACCTAGATCTCTACTTTCACCACCCCAGTGAGAAGAAATAGACAATAAACAGTAAACATGACAAATAATTTGTATCATATGATCAAAATGACTGGAGCTTTTGGGGGAAAAGTAGAGCAGAGGCAGGATAAGGGGGTTCTGCAGTGCTGCGTGGGTACTGGAGTTGATGTTCATCGTGATTTTAGAAATCACAGGTCAGGGGGGCCTCACAGAGAGGAATTCCCCTCTCTGTGAGCCAAAGCCAGAAGGTTGGGGGACTTAGCCGTGGGGATGGCTGGGGGAAGAGCTTTCCAGGCAGAGGAATATGCATGCCTGGCATATTTAAAAAAACAGCAAGGTCAGTGTTGCCGTAGCCGAGTGAACCAAGGGGCAGACTGGTAAGGACTGAATCAGAGAGGTAGAGACCAGATCATGTAAGTCTTGTAGACCATCGGAAGAATTTGGGCCTTTATTCTGAATGAAGTAGGAAAACTTGGCAGAGTTGTGGGCAGAAAAATAACATAATCTGTCTGATTTTTAAAGGATCCTGAAAAGTATCTTGGACGAGAGAGGGATCTAACTGTAAAACGACTGGGAAAAGACCCCAGAAGGTGGTATGGTCTAACCCCCCTCAGCAGGCTGGTAAAATTGCTAATATAGGACCTGGACTAACCTATTTTTACATATCCTCACAACATTTGTAGTCATCTGTTGAGTAATCAGTTACTCTTACAGACAACAAATTCTCCCTTATATATACATTGCATACATTGCAAACTCCCTTATGTTTACATTGCAAACTCACCTACTTTTGGGGGACAAACTGATAAGTATGGTATGAAACGGCTGAGAGTATAAAGCAATACAGATTGTGGGGGAACTGCAGGCAAGATGCCCACAAGTTCAAGTTCCTCTTTTTAACTGCATATGTGTGTGCGAAATTACATTACTTCAAACAGCTGAGAACATCAGTATTCATTTAAAACAATATAATCCATGCGGATATTACTTTTTCTTTGTTAAACTATCTGTAGATAAATCCCGGCACCAAACTTTTGCCTTTGAAGGATCTCTGCTTACAAGAGCCAAGTGATCTACGTGCTGTACTCTTAGTTAACAGTAAATCTGACGTGTGAGTCCCTTGGGGGAGGAGGGATGCGGGGAAGCGCATAATGATTTTTGTCTGTACATCATCGCATGAATATATAAGATTCCCAGACAGTATCTTTTTGCCCCCCTGTATTTGGCATCACCCTGAAAATGAACACCAGTCCATAAACTCATAGCCTGACATAGTAAAGGCCATGAAATCACCACCAACGTGGTTTTTCCTTTGATTCCCTTTTACCGCTCAATTCCAGATGTATTTCTGTAGTCAGTGCTGGTAACATGAAGTAATTGAAGGAAGTGTAAGCAGATAGGAGCAAACCAAAACGAATTATGTTTACAGGACTCTAACTGCTGCCCAGAGTTTTGTTTTGTTTTACTATAAAATAAGAAGTAAATAATACAGCTAAAAATTAAAGCTTCAAAATGCTTCCTTAAAATGGTCATGATACCTGTATATCTGTCATGATTTATTTTATGTGATGTATTTTATAAAAATATTTCCAGTTCCAGTTCATGAACAATATTCTTTTTGTCTTACCTTCACCTCTCCTTTATGTTTTCATTCTATCACTGTTAAAAGTCATCTCCAATTATGATTTTCTGGAAAAAAAATCTGTTTTGTAGGACAAATCCAATATTGACAAAGTATTTTAACTTGTATATAATTCAAATATGTAAAATTTTAGTTCTCCACCTCCATCTATGGAAGATAAGTCATCAGATATTGGTTATGGACGGAGTATTTCTTCCTCATCTTCTTTAAGAAGAGCAAGTAAAGAAAAGACAAAGTAAGAAAATGGTATTTTGTCTGTACTCAAATAATTCTCCCCTCAACCTGGGAGTAAGAACAAATTTAGGTTTTAGATTAGGGCAGCTTAATTCTTTTCATTCTTCTAGTACTATAATTTCATAATTGCCTTTTTAAATTGCTGTGGAAAAGATCTCTGGGAAAAGTAGGCTTTCTGTGCTATTTGCTGTGACTCTCCAGTGAGCCCTCAAGCACAGGACTTAGGAGCTGTGAGCCGGCTTTGTTCGATTTTCTGTAGATGGAGTCATGCCTGGTGCCCAGCTTCACATCGGGGAAGGGAGCCCAGGCACATCATGGCAAAGAAAATGCCTTCTAAATGACGAAATGCCTTGCAAATGTAATGTTTTATTATTTCTCATATGATTGAAATCGATGATGAATTTTTCCTTGTCCTAAGAACAAATAGTTTTCATTTTAGTACTGGATTTGGATCTCCCACAGAAGACAAATCGGAACCTACTTCTGGACGAAATACTGCTCTTAGCAAAAGCACCACGAAGGAGAAAGGATCAAGGTAGGAAATGTAGGACTGTCTTCTTTTCCTAAGGATAGTCATCTGAGGTTTTGATTCCACACCAAAGTTGGTGAACGGAAGGGGTGGCCTTTAAATAGGAAACATTTCTTACCGAATCAGGATGTCGGTTCCGAGGGGAGACTCATGAAATGTGATTAACAAGTCACTTCATTTTTGCCTCTTGCAATCTCTTGAAAACTTAACCAGAGGGAATTGCTTCTCCTGCCTCTGGGTGAGAACTCAGGGCACTCTGATCAACTATACAGTCCTACAGACACTTGAATTCGAAAACAGCAACAGTAGTCTCTAGCCAGTCATTTAAAAGTCCAACCCTGGGTCATGATCAAGGTAGAGTGACCCCCTGCCCTCCCCCGGCGGCTGCCCTTGCGGGTGGTGAGCTCCACACGCTGGAGCGCGGTCCAGGCCCTCTCCGCCTTGTGCTTCTACCCCGCCTCCCCCCTGCTGGCCCAGAGAAACCTCTGACCCCTCAGGAGGCAGCGAGAGGAGGAAAGGGAAATAGGACCCAGCTCTTAACTTGATGGAACAATTACAATGTGGTTTCATGCTTTTTAGGCCTAGCATGTTTTAAACATGCTTTCCGTATGTTTACGTATTTTTAAACCCATGATTTCTCTAATGAGCACTTTCGTGGATTCCTCAAAAACCCATGTGGACCTCTTGCCACACTCCGTGACCCTTTAATTATTGTTGACTTAAGCCCTTCCGAACCACTGTGGTATCGGAGGCTGTCTGGCAGGCATTTCGAGCGTCTGCTCTCTAAACTGAGACCGCCCCCTAGGCCTCCCAAGGTCTGGGCGGCGGTTTGCTCTCCTCAGACCTCAGAGCGGCTGTTTCCCTAGTTCTGACTTCCTTCTCTGTAGCCAGTGTCCTTTGCTGCTCTTCTCATCTCAGCTTCTTAACTGCTCCTATTGTTCCAGGAATGATATTTTTTGCCCTTCCCTCCCCTCCCTTCCCTTTCACCCGTCTCCTCCCCACCCCTCCCCTCCCCTCCCTATCCTGCCCCCCACCCCACACCTTCTCTTCCTGTCTTTCTTTTCCTCCTTTGGCTTCTCTGTGCTTCACCTCTACTGCATGGAGAGCTCCTTGAGGACACGAACATGTTCTGATTTGAGGAATTTCTCTTCCCATCCCTAGTGTTTAGCCCAGGGCTTGGTGGGCATACAGAGGCATTCATGTGTATTCAAGAGAATAGAAATCTGAACGGTTGCAGGAAAAGGTTATTTTTGACAAGGTCCACCCTTATAAACTGTGTGTCTGAGCAAGTTGGTTTCCTTCTCTTTGCCTGAGTCTCCTCATCAGTAAAATGAACAGAACATAGGGTATGGTGAGGAGTAAAGAAATTAGCACGTAGAAAGTGCATAGAGCAGTGCCTGGCACAAAGTAGACGCTCAACAAGTGTTAGTACTGTTCTACGAAACAGTTGCAAGGAGCCCAAATGCACTCAACCCTTGCAGGGATATAGAGGAGTCTCCAGAGTCCAACGCAGGAAATGCCGCCATCCCCTAAGGACTGGAGCTCGGGTGAAGTCCATAACTGTAGGATCTCTGTCTCTCCCTCTCTTTTTCTCTCTCCACATGCGGGTATCTTATTTACAGATGCTTTGTTATCCTCCTTGACTTTCTTTTGATTACTGCTTCACCCATAACCGTGGCTTATATGTGACTTTGGTTTGCCATGGGACAAATCTGGCTCCGATTCCAAGCAAACTTGCAGTTCTAAAGCATATTTGTGCATATTCAAGTGCGTATTTGTCAGAGAGACCATCTTACTGTCATAGGCCAAAGTACTGGCTGGCTTTGAGGCAGGTGTCTCCCTTTGGTCTACCCAGCCATGGCCCTGGGGAAGAATCGACCTTCTGCCCCCTTGATAAAGGGGAGGGTAGGCCACTTGTCTGATGGGTGACCATTACACACATATCGTACTTACCATCATCAATCAAAGCGTATTTTCCCCTCTGGTACCTCTGATACCACATCAGCTTTAATCTTTGGTGATTCTGCTATTCTTGACAGAATATCATCTTATTTTTCTTACAACTTAGTCTGGTTCTTTCCTAAATCTTTTGGAGGAGAGTAGGCAGTCCTACTGGGTTGAAAGTTATTTTGTGTACTTGTAAATATCAAAATGCTGATCTTCAGGGAGGCAGAAAAAGGGGGGGGAAACAAATCATGAGAGACAAGATCTTAACTATAGAGAACAGAGGGTTGATGGAGGGAGGAGGGGGTGGGGGTGGGCTAGATGGGGGATGGGGATGAAGGAGGGCACTTGTTATGACGAGCACTGCCTGTTGCAGGTAAATGTTCAGAGCACTGAACTCTACTCCTGAAACCAATATTGAACTGTATGTCAACTAACTAGAATTTAAATAAATTTTTAAAAGTGCTGATCTTCAGATAGCCGTGGGTTTTTAATTACAATATATGATAGTTTGGTTTTTCTGTACTACTTGGAAGCACTCACATCTTTATCTCATTTGATCCATACCTTCTTCTTCTATGGATAAGTCCCCTCTTTTTTGGCCCTTTTTGCTATATCCTATCTACCCATCACAACTACCTTACATGTTGACATGCCCCAGGATTCTTCATTTACTCCCTTTCTCACTCTCCGTGGTTTTAGCTACTGCTGACAGGTATATACGGCCCTCCTGAGTCCAGTCTGCTCTCTCCTGCTACCCTGTAAACAATGTGTTCTAAATGAAACTCATTGTTCCCCCAACTCCCAAACCTCCTCCTGTCTTCCCTAAGCTGATGAATGTTACCCTCTTCCCCTGCAAGTGCTCAAGCCTAGGAATTGTCTTGAAGTCCTTCTTCTTTCCTCCCTACACCGAATGAGTCTCAGTCCTGTGCACTAGATGTCTTCAGTGTCTCGTAAGTCATGGTTTCCCTCCATTTTCAGCTTTACCTCCCCAGTTCAGGCCTTTGTATTATATCTCAAGACACTGACCTCTTTATTGTAAGATTCTTCTGCCTTTGTATAGCCCTCCACAAACCCATCGTCCATGCTACCCCTGAGAGTTACCTTCCCAAAATGAAAGGCTGATGATATTACTCTGCCTAAAGCAACGATTCCCTGTCTTCCTCCAGATGAAGTCCAAACAGCAACCATGGCATCCTCTGTAAGAGTCTTACATGTCTTATATGCATAACAAATTCCTACTCTTCTTCATTCTCTTTATACATTTCGTTTTTGTGAGCCATTCCCTGGTCACCCCAGGTTAGGTATTCTCTTTGCATTCACTCCTTCATGGATTCAAATAATCTTACATATAACCTGAACTGCTTGGTGTTGATCTATTTGTCTTTCTTACTAAGCAATGGATTACTTGAGACCTGGGACCAGGTCTTTTTCATTTTTATAGTCATAAAGCCTAGAATAATATCATGAACACCAGAGACAGTAAAGAAACATTTATGGTTTAAGTATTCACAAATTATTTAAAATACTGAATGCTGGTTGCTGAAAGGAATAGAGGTTTGACTCCCTCCTAATATGCCCCAGGAGAATAAGTAAACAAATGAAGATAATTATTTCTTCTCATACCATTTCCATTCTCCTCCTTGTCCCTGCATTTTCTCCCCACTTGAAGATAAACCCTGATGTACTCCCAACATTCAAGCAGATTGTTAGCATGATGGAGAACACACATTTTGCATCCAGACAAAACCGGTACTTGGTTTTCTTATCTCTAAAATGGAAATGATTCCTCCCTACAGAGGTGCTGTGAGAGTAAGTGAAACAATGTTTGCCCAGTGCCGAAACCACTGCCTTGCATACTTAAGTGATCAGTGTATGTCCAGTCCTTTACCCCTCCTTAGTCCTGGGTCCGCTGGGGGGATAGATTGGTCATAATCTTGTTGCCCTGCTGTCTGCCTTTCGATAAACCCTTCTTGTCTTGTGACTATTAGTCCTTTGGATCCCTGGAGATAGAGGAAAACATTTTAACTCTATTCATCTGAGAATGTCATAGAGAATGTTTAATATTAACAAAAAGTTACTGAGAGATACTGACAAAGAATGATGAGCCATCTTGGACCACAAAGTGGCTAAATTCTTGAAAAGAAGAAGAGAGAAAGGATGGGAAACAAGCAAATCAATTATGTGTGTGGGGTGGCCTAATATGGACAAGGAAAGAATGATTTTTCTCTTTCACCTCATGAATATTGTCACCGTATGCTACATGAATTAAAATCCTAAAGCAACAGGCTCTCACTGGGTGACCAGTAATCAGATTATTTTTGTGTGTGAAGGTTTCTGTTGTCTCCTTTGTGGGAAAACACTCATGGGAGAGGTGATTAGTTTCCTTTCTATCCAGCTACCATCTTGATACTTTCCTAGGCTTCACTGAGGCCAACAAATCTAATATGTCCTCTAAAGCTTTTCTTTATAAAGACCATTTCCCTTACGATAACCATTTACTGTACCTATCTGTAAATGTATTGTAAGTTCTATGTGTACTGTACTTTGTATTCAGACCAACTTTCATAAATATTTAAGTTGACTGTGCATGAGTTTATTATACACACTTAAAAGTTTATTGCTTTCCTGTCTCTATTTTGTTTCCTTCCAGTCTGTTCATCTCTGGAGTCTTTTAGAAATTTACAACATGTACTTAAACATTTCTGCTGTTCAGTCTTAATCTTCATCATAATGACTTCCTAAAACATTTTTATTTTTAAAATAATTTCCCTTAAGCCCTTCTTTTTAACCTTAGCTTAGCCATTTTTTCTCTTCCCCCCAAATCTTTACTGACTGCAAAAGTTTCTCAGAAATAGATACTGTCTCTTAATCACACTTAACATCTTAATCACATTTAAATACCTTCTCACCTTCTTTTCTTGAAATCACTCATTCATTCAGCAAATACTTACTGTGCTAGGTGCTAGGAGCTGTTCTAGTGTTAGAGATAGAGCAGTGAACAAAATCTCTGTTTTCAAAGAGCTTACCTACTGGGACATTGACAAATAACAAAATAAACT